TTCTTTGCCTATGGGTTATTTTGAGGTGTGTAGTCTAATTTTCAAATATTTGTGTTTTCCCAGATTTCTTCTAGTAGTTGATCTCTAAATGTGATTCGTTTGTGGTTAGAAAAACACATCGTATGATTTCAGACTTTTTAACATTTTTGAGACATACTTGGGACCCTCACTTTAATATCAGCATGTAGCTTCCCTCACTTTCATTGTCTCCTCTTAAATGCTACCCTCTCAATGAGACCAACCCAGTCCAATATTAAAATTGCAGCCACCAATACCACCATCTCTTAGCATTTTCTATCATCCCTTATATTGCTGTATTTTTTTCTTTTCAAACCCCTCATAACCTCCCCCCATAGCCTTCTAATATAATTTACTTAACTCTCTGAAGGCAGAAATCTTTGTTTTATTTATGGATGTCTCTCAAAAAGCTAGAATAATTCCTGGATCATAATAGTCACTGAATAAATATATATATTTTTGAGTGTATACATTAGGGTATTTCATCTACTTAATCATATGTAGCTAAAATTTGTTCACTTTTTTAAAGTATATTTTTTATTGTTGATAGTATTACAGATATCTCCCATTTTCACCCCCTTCATGTTCACTTTCATTGGAATGTAATATTTCATTATATAATCTTACTACAATTTAATAGTTGATTCTTCTTAAATCGACACTTGTATTTTTGCTAGTTTCAGGCCATTATATATATACCAGTGATCTAACCATTGTTATTGTTGTACCCTGGTACCATATACCCAAATTTTTCTAGTGTAAATATGTAGGAGTAGAATTAATGGGTCATGTTATGAGCATTTATTGCACATTAGTAAATAATGTCATAGTGCTTTGCAATATGGTTGCACATTCCTACCAGCAATGTCTGAGGGTTTCGTTTGCTTTACAATCTCACTGATATGTGATATTGACATTCTTTTTAATTTTTTTGCCAATATGGCAGTTTTCTTTTAGTATTTTCTTCTTAATTAGCATTTCCCTGAATTCTTTTATGGTTGATTAATTTATTTTTATGTAGTTGAATTTGTCAATATTTTTCTTTTATGGTTAGTGCTTTAGGGAACTTAAGAAGCCTTCCATACTGTTCTTATACCTTGCTGGTGTAAATGCAGAATAACACAACTTCTACAATGTGGAATTTAGCAATATAGAGAAAAGTTACATACACATTTGATCCTTTGTCTCAGCAAAGCCACCTCTTTTAATCTACTTCAACAGTGTACTGGAAAAATACAAAATTCTATATGCACAAGGTTGTTTTTCATGGCATTATTCATAACAGCAAATAAGACTAAGATATAATACCAGTGTGCATCAGTAGGGAATAGTTGAATAAACTATGGTACATCCACACAGTGGAGTATTTATACAGCTATCAGAAGAAAGGGAAAGAGCTTTACATATTAATATGGAGTTACCTAAAGTATATATTATTAAGTGCAAAGAAGTAAGTTGTGCACTGGCCGGTGTGGCTCAAGTTGTTGAAGTGCCGTCCTGTACACCAAAAATGGCGGGTTCAATTTCCGGTCAGAATACATACCCAGGTTGGGGGTTTGATCCCGTCAGGGCACATGCAGGAGGCAACCAATTCAAGTCTCTCTCTCTCTCTCTCTCTCAAATCAATTTTAGAAATTTTATAAATGTAAGTTGTCAATAGTGTATAGTAAGTTACTGTTTATGTAGGAGAGGGGTATAACTAATGAATTATATATAGTGTGTGTCCCCAAAAAATGTATACATACTTTAACAACTGATAGCTCAGTTTTGAAAATGAAATGTATTTTAATAAACACTGCCTTTATAATTATTCAAAATGTGTATATACATTTTGGGATACTATATATACATATATACACACACACATATACATATATATGTGTATATGCTTCTTTGCTTATATTTTCAAAAAAGAATCAATGGAACCATAAAGCCAAAACCTAATAAAATTATTATTTATGGGGAAGGAAAGGAATGGGATGAAGGGGACAGAGATGGAAGTGAAACTTCTGTGAAGGTACTGTATAACACAGTTTTTACTCTACACCTATTTAAATGTTTTTGCATAATTTAAAAATCAAAAAGGGAAACATCCATCCCTAAAATTCATGAACAACCTGAAGCAAATGAATCTAACCATAAAAAAAGTTGGTAGCATAAAAATACAGAGGAAACAATTACTTAAAATGACTTTAAAACAATATTTGTACATTCCTAATGGGATATATTATAAAGGTAACTGCAAAAAGATGTAAATCTCTATTCAGTAGTTTCATTGTTGATATTCATATTAGTATTGTTATTGACATTTAAAAATTCTATAAATATATTATAAGAAAAAGCAAATAAATAATGTTGTTAATGTTAAAAAAACAAATATTTTAAGCATATGTGAAAAGAGATATACAAGTCTAAAATCAAGAAGTTTGAGTAAAAACCTTATAATCTTACATTTGAAGTGGAAATACCAGTATAATTTCTTTTTCTCTTTAAAAAAATTTCCTGGTTTTGTCCACCGAAAATGTCTAGAAGCAATAACAACTTAACAGCAATGAACACACCTAGCAACACATTATACTTTTTAAATACTATTCCCCATTAAAAGGAGCCAAGGGTCCTTGGAAAAATAGTTTAGGTTTGAGTCAGGAAATGTGCAATATGAGCTTGGGACATCTTGCTGTGCCAGAAAACTGAAAAGCACTATAGTAGTCAATTTGAAAGGACTCCTACTGGCCCTAAGTGGGATAATTTGACCACTAAAAGAATAATGACTATATTTAATTGAAACACATCAAATGTAATAAAAATACACGATCTCACAATTATACTAAAAATAATCATTGGTCACCACTGGAAATTTGTAAGGTACCAACTCATTACTCTCATAGTGGTAAATAATGGGGAAAATAATGCATTTATCCTGCCTTTCCTGTATAAACTGTATATAGGGAAACTAGTTGATGACGGTAAGTTTATTATAGAATTCTAAATAATAAACACAAAAAAATAGTGGAATTAGGGGAGCTCCATTTCACAACTCTTAATAAATTAATAGATCTAGACAGCAGTCATCACTGGATGTAAAACCCATTAGGTGAAAGATGAGCGAGAAAATTTCATAATGGAGAGATCCGACTAATACCACCTGAACACACTGATCAATTTTAGCATCACTAAAAATGGGACCACCAAACATTATGTGCCTTTTGATGTAATAGGAAATATACAACCATCTGTGGAGGATTCTTGCCTAAAAATATGAAACCTGAATCTAATCATACCTCTAAATCAGCACTGCCCAATGTAACTTGTATAATAATGTAAATGGTCTCTATCTTTTTTTGCCCAATATAGTATCCACTTGCCACAGGTGGCTGTTGAGCATTCGAAATGTGACTAGTTTAACTGAGGAACTGACATTTAAAAGATTAATTTGAATAGGTTTGCGTGGCCAGTGGATACTGTATTAGATAGAATAGCTCTATATTTAGCTGCCAGTTTGTAAGAAATGGAGGGGATTAAGGAACAAATTAAACAATACCATGAAAAACAATCAAATTAATTTGTTCTGTGAACAAATATGGTTCTTCTAATAAATCAATGGGATGGGGTAAAAAATGGGTTGGAGGGGTGGGAAGGAAGGGGTACTGTTTTAAAATAAAAGAGACTTAAGAGATGTAACAGCCAAAGGCTGGGTTAAACAATCAAGTGTAAAAATATATCTTTTTGATAATCAGGACCATTTCAATATGAACTTGGTATTAGATTATATTAAGGAATTATTAATTTTGTGAAGTGTGATTATGCCATACTGGTTACATTTTTAAATGTCCTTATCAGTTAAGTGCATGTACTTGCATGACCCTGAGAGTGAGCACCTCCTTAAGTTTTGTACCCCAGGGGCCTCACTTGCTTCACCATAGTTCCAGCCTTGCTTGAGATGCACTGTAATAAAATAGCTATATACTATTGTCATTTATTGCAGGTTGTAAACACCTGCCCCAGCAGAGTTTCTAAATCTGAGATCGAAGATTTAATTTTAATTAATTTGTCAAAGGTTGTATTGATAGGCTTTGTAGAACTTCCCTATCTCTTTGTCTTAATCCAGATGAACCCCAAAAGAAGAACAAAGGTGATCCCATGAACAACCTGGAAAATTTTTACCAAGAGATGATAATGAAAAAACGTCTTGAAGAGTTCCAACTTATGAGAGGTGAACCCTTTGCTTCCCACTCACTGGTCTCAGCTACATCAGTGGGAGATAGTGACACAGCTGAGAACCCGCCATTACTCCAGGACAAGGGAGAACAGGCAGCACAGGGTAAAGGTCCCAGTCTTCATGTGGCAAAAGTTATTGATAATTCACCTGAGCAGTGTTGGACTGGGCCTAAGAAGCTGACGCAGCCAATAGAATTTGTCCCAGAAGATGAGATCCAGAGAAATCGTTTGTCAGAGGAAGAGATCCGAAAAATTCCTATGTTTTCTTCATATAATCCAGGGGAGCCAAACAAGGTATAGGCTAAACCAAGACAAAAACATGGGTTGTTTTCATTTTAATTTACCTCTACCTAAAGTAATACTTTTAAATTCACTTTAATTATACTAAAGAATTATGACATAGGTATAGTGATCGTGTTTTTCCTTGTCCTTCACTATTCTTTCTCTGCATACTATATAAGTAGCATATTTCTTGTGATGTTCCTTGTGCATTTCTAAGGTCCTAAAGTACCTATAGAATTTTAAAGAAATCTTGAAAGACTCTATTCCAAACCTACTAAAAGACCTGAATTGAAGGGAAAGTAACCTCCAATTTCGTAGGCTAGTAATAAATCAGGTAGTATTCATAGGACCTCCATATCTGATAGCCATGGTGCCTTTGGAACTAGTCTTTGGAACATATGACTTAGATGCTGGTAGTTAAGAGCAAAGTGGAAGCACAGGCCCTCTAAGTCTTGAGAAATTGGCAAATATCTAAGTAAACTTGTAAATAATCTTTTTATATTCTTACTACATAGCTATATATTCATAAACAACATATAGTTTTACATATTTCTAAACTATAGATAAAATCATGCTCTACATACCCTTCTATAACTTGCTTTTTAAACTCAATATACATAATGTTTTGAAATTTATTTCTAATGCTATAAGGAACTATGTATTCCATTGTAGAAATATAGTATAATTCATTTGTCCATTTTCCTGAAGATATTTTCTTTTCAATTCTGCAACAAACATTATTGTACAATTAGTAGGTCACAATCGGCAATTTTTTAAGGAAATGAAACAGAATAGAATAGAAAATATCAATATTATAGAGTAAGAGTAGTTTCTGTTTATTGAAGGTTTTGTTTTACATATGTATGTACACACACATGAGAGAAGGGGGGGATAGACATGTGTGGGACAAGAATGCATGTCTTCCTATAGATCTTAGTCCAAAACGTTGGAAAAAATATTGCTTTGTTGCAGTGATTATCAAATGTTAGTGTGTACCAAAATCACCTGGCAGGCTTGTTAAAATGAAGATTGCTGGGCTCTGTCCCCAGAATTTTTTATTCAGTAGATCTGAAGTAGGGTCTGAGAATTTGCATGTCCAACAAGTTCCCAGGAGATGCTATTGCTGCTGAGAGACATTTTAAGAATCACTATCATAGATTATATACCTAGGAGTAGAATTACTGTGCTATATAGGATATGTATATCTTCAACTCCGTGAGCAGGATTTCAGAGATCTCTTCCACATTCTTGCCAAGACTTTGTAGTATTAGACTTTATTTTTGCCAGTCTAATATAGTATTTGAAAGGTATCTCATTGTTTTAATTTGCATGTTCGTGATTTCCAGTGAAATTATGTATGTATTCATGCATTTGTTAGCCTTTCAGGAACATTCTGTGAGTTGCCTGTTCCTTTTTATCCATTATTTGGTTGTTTAGTTTTTCATATTATTTATAGAGATTATTTTAAAATTCTGAATACAAACTATTTTTTTTTTATTTAGAAAATATATTATTTCAGTGAGTGGCTTATCATTTTAACATTGCTTCTGATGTCTTACGTTAAGCAGAAGTCTTTCATTTTAATGTAATCATATCATCAGTATTTTACTTGATGGTTTCATTTTTGGAGTCACTTTAAGGAAATTCCTCCCTATAGATCAATAAGAAAAAAATATAGACAACCCAATAAAAATGGTCAGAAGATATGAATAGGCAATTCACAGAGAAAAGAAGAGGAATGGCCAATTAACTTATAAAGTCTCATTAGTAATCAAAGAAATGCAAAATAAAACTGTAATGAGATAACATTTAACACTCAGGATGTTGGCATAAAGACATGACAGTGCCAAGTGCTGGTGAACATATGGAGCACTAAAAACGCTAATATGCTTCTGGCTGAATATAAATGAGTACAACCACTTTCAAGAACATTGGGGCAATATCTGGTAAAATGGGAGATGCTCATACAGTATAAATCAGCAGTCCCACTCCTAGGTGTCTGTCCTAGAAGAATTCTTACATATACACATTAGGAGATGTTATAAGGATGCTCGTTATAACATTATTTGTAGACAGCATACATGTTCATCAGCAGGAGAATGGATAAAGCGTGGTATAGTCATAAAATAGCATACTGTACAGTAGAGAAAATGAATAAAATATAACTACTGATATCAATGTGGATGCAGTTCACAAACATAATGTGAATGAAAAAAGCCAGTTTCAGACTTCTGGTTTCAACTTTAACATACAAAGTGCTTGGAAGTTGTCATTCCTGTCTTACAAGAAAAACAGTGGAACAAACAAAAAATCAATGACTTTTTCTTGGGCCCATCAGAGCATTGAATTCACAGGGCAAACTGCAACCCTGAAATTTGGAGAGACAGGCAATTAAAGAGAACCACAGCCCAGATCTACTTATTAGGAGCGGAAAGCCACAGGAGCCATAAACTGGTAGGAATACTTAAGTGGTAACTTTGACAAATTGCTTAAGTCAGAGTGTAGATTAGTGTTTGAACATAACAGTTTCTCAATTTGAAGAGCCAAGAAAAAAGTCTGTTCCTGGCTAGTAATAAATCAGATAGTATTCATAAAAGCACCATATATGGTAGCCATGGTGCCTCTGAAATTAGTCAATAAATACCTCCAGGAACCCCACTAGGTTCTCAAGTTGAAGAGCCAAGGAAAAAAATCTGTTCCTGGCATGGGGAGCAGAAAAGTAATCATTTTGAAATACACCCAGAGCTTCTACAGAACAAAGGACTATCCAACATGTGAAACAATTTTACCAAACCCTTCTCCACTATGGGAGAAGGGAAATCATCTTACTTTAGGCCCCTCTGGTCTTCCTGTCCCATCTGAGAGAGAGAAAAAAAGAAAACTGTGAAACACTTCTGAAGATTACAGTCTAGGGACCCAGGCACACTGAAAGACTGAGGCTTAATTATAGAATTTCAGAATGTTTCCCTTACCCTACACCTTACCACCACATCAACAGGGCTTTAGGATAATAACTATGGTACAGCTGAAAAACCTGCAAGGCTCAGACTCTAAAAAGTTTTCAGGGAAACCCAGAGAAAACATGGGAAACAAAAACAAGGACATTACAAGAAATTGAAACCTGTGACACCTACAGCTAGAGTAAACATTAAACACAGCCCAACGCCTGGCAAGATTAACAAAAAAATCACGCTAACAGCCTGTTTACCTCAGATCCTATTATGTTATACATCATGTTTGACTTTCAACATAGAAGAAATTGTAAGGCATGGTAAAAGAAAAAACAGTTTCAAGAGACAAAACAAGCATCAGAACCAAAGTCAGATATGGCTCAAGTTTTGGAATGATTACATTTATAGAATTTAACATAATTAAATGCTAAAGAGTCTATTAGAAATAGTACACAATATGCAAAAACAGGTCAAGTAAACAGAAATAGAAACTCAAAGAAATAATTAAAAGGAGATGGTAGAAATAAAAAGCACTATAATAGGAATAACACTTTGATAGGCTCATTAGTATACTTGGTATGGCCAAGGAAAGAATCAGTAAGCTTGAAGACATGTCAGTACAAACAACCCAGACTAAAATGCAAAGAAAAAAAGACTTAAAAAATGGAACTAATGTCCAAGAACTATGGGACAATTTTAAAAGGTGTAACATACACATTATTGGAATACCAGAAGGATAAGAGAAAAAGGAACAGAAGAAATTTTTGAAGTAATGATGGCTGGGAATTTTTCAAAATTACCAGACCACTGATACAGGATTTGAGCAGAGAACACCAAGCAGGATAACTACCAAAGCAAAAAACAGCTAAGCATATCATGTGCAAATACCGAAGACAGAGAAAATCTTGAAAACAGCCAGAAGAAAACCACTTTGTCTATAGAGAAACAAAGATAACAATCGCATTGGATTTCTCATCAGAAACCATGCAAACAAGAAGATAGTGGTGTCAAATATTTAATATTTAAAGTATTGGGTGGGGGGAACCCCACCTAGCTAGAGTTCTGTATCCAGAAAAAATATCCTTCAAAAGTGAAGGAAAAATAAAGATTTTATCAGACAAACAGAAACAGGGAATTTGTTGCCAGTAAACCTGCCTTGCAAGAAAAAAAAAATTAAGTTCTTCAGAGAGAAGGAAAATAATATAGGTTAGAAAATCAGATTCCTATAAAGAAAGGAAGAGCTTAAAAATGGAATATCTGAAGGTGAAATTTTTTATTTTAAGTGATCTAAAAGATAACTGTTCAAAATAATAATAGCATTGTGTTAGGTAATTATAGCATATAGATAAGTGAAATAAATGGCAGGAATGTTATAAGGTATAGGAGGGAGGAATTTGTATTTAGTATACTATTATAAGATATCTGCACTACCTGTGAACTGGTATAGTGTTAATTGAGCGTGGACTTAGATTAGTTATAAATGTATATGGCAAATTCTAGGGCAACCACTAAAAATTATAAATAGAAGTCTAATTGATATGCTACTAGAGGGGTAAAAATGGAATCATATAAAATGATACTCATTCTCTACAATCTTTCCCAGAAAATAGAAGCAAAGGGAACATTTTCTGACTTGTTTTATGAGGGCCGGCATTAGCTTAATACCAAAACCAGATGAAGATATTACAATTTTTAAAAAATAATAATTACAGACCAGTCTCTCTCATGAGCATAGATGTAAAAATCATAAATATTAGGAAAGTCAGAATAGTTGATTGAGATACTTTTATTTAAAAATCAAAATATTAGGAAATGAAATCCAACACGATATCAAAAGAATTCTATATTATGAACAAGTGGGATTTATTCCAGGTATCCAAGGCTGGTTCAACAGTTTGAAACTTAGTTAATATAATATACCACATCAACAGACTAAAGAAAAATAATTATGTCATTATTTCAATTGCTGTAGAAAAAGTACTTGACAAAATTCAACACCCATTAATGAAAAAAATCTCTCAGCAAACTAGGAATAGAGAGGAACATCCTCAACTTGGAAAAGAATATCTACAAACCCTACAGCTAACATCATACTTAATGATGAGAAACTGGATGTGTTCCCCTTTGATCAGAAACATGGAATAGATAGATACCTCCTCTTCCCACTTTTTAAAATACTGTACTGGAAATGCTAGCTAGTGAAATAAAATAAGAAAAGGAAATAAAAAGCACACATATTGGAAAGGAAAATGTAAAACTGTCTTTGTTCATAGATGACATGTATGTCTATACTGAAAATCCCAAACAGTAAACCTAAAACAATTTCTGGAACTAATAAATAAGTACAGTGTACTTGGAGGATACAAGGTTTATATATAAAAGTCTATTGTTTTCCTGTAAACCAAGAAATGAACCATTGATAGCGAAATACAAACAATACTATTTACAATAGGACTGAATATAGTTAAATAATTAGGTATAGATCTAACAAAATTTATACAGGATCTGTATGCAGAAAATTACAAAACCCTACTGAAAACTTAAAGCTCTAAATAAGCCTAGCCGGTGTGGCTCAATGGATTGAGCGTCATCCCATGGACCAAGAGGTCCCCTGTTTGTTTCCCAATCAGGGCGCATGCCCGGGTCACTGGCTTGATCCCCAGGAGGGGGTGTGCAGAAATCAGCCCATTGATGTTTCTCTCTCACTGATGTTTCTATCTCCCTCTCTCTTCCTTTCTATCTAAAAAACAATAAAAAGATAGTTTTTAAAAAAGATCTAAATAAATGCAGAGATGTCCTGTGTTTATGGATTGGACAACCTAATATTGTTAAGATGTCAATTTTCCCAAATTGATATGTAGATTTTCCAGTCTCACCAAAATCCCAGCAAGCTATTTTGTGGATATAGACACATTGATTCTAAGTTTCTAGGAAATGAAAAGGTCCAGAATATCTAATACAATACTGAAGAACAACAAAGTTGAAGGGCTGACAGTACTCAACTTTAAGGCTTACTGTAATCAAGTAATCCAGTGCAGGTGAAAAAAGATGCATAGATCAATTGGGCAGAATAAAGACTACAGACATAGATTCACACTAATATAGTGAACTGATCTTTGACAAGGGAACAGAGGCAATTAAATGGAGAAAGGATAGTCTTTTCATCAAATTGTGCTGCAACAACTGGATATCAGCATTTTAAAAAATGAATCTAGACACAGATTTTGCAATCTTCAAAAAAATTAACTGTAAAATAGATTGTAGATACAAATGTAAAAAAATACCATAAAACTTCTAGAAGAAAACGAGAAAAATCTAAATGACCTTGTGTTTGGTGATGTATTTATAGATACAACAAAAAATATGATTTATGAGAGAAAAAAGTTTGATAAATCAGACTTCATTAAAATTATAAACTTCTATGTGAAAGATACTTTTAAGAGAAAAAAAATATGCCACAGACTGGAAGAAAATATCTTCAAAACACATGTCTAATAAAGGACGTGTATCCAAAATATAAAAAGGTCTTCTAAAACTCAACAGTAATAAGATGAACTACCCAATTAAAAATGGGCAAAAGAACAGACACCTCCCCAAAGAAGGTATTTACATGTCAAATAAGCATATACAAAGGAGCTCACCATCATTTGTCATCAGGAAACTGCAAAATAAAACAATAATGAGATGCCATTATACACCTATTAGAATGACTAACAATCACAATAAAATTGACAGTCCCAAATGCTATTGAGGATGCTGAGCAACAGGTACTCTTATTCATTGCTGGTGAGAATACAACATGACACAATCTCTTTGGAAGTTAGTTTGACAGCCTATGACAAAGCGAAACATTGTTTTACCATATGATCTAGTAATTGCGCTTCTAGTTATTTACTGCAATTGATTTGAAAACCTATATTTATACAAAACCCAGCATGTGAATGTTCATAGCAGTTTTATTCATAATTACCAAAAACTTGCAATCAAGATGTTCTTCTGTTTCCATTCACCTGTGCTACATCTATACAATGGAATATAATTCAGCAATACAAAGAAATGAGCTGTCAAACTACAATAAAGACATAGAGGGACTATAAATGCATTTTAATAAGTGAAAGAAGCCAATATGAAAAGACTGCTTATTGTTTATTCCAGTTATGTGACACTTTAGTAAACACAAAACTATAGTGACGATAAATGATTGATGATTGCCAGGACTCTGGGGGACGTGGGGGACAGAGGAATAGATGAAGTACAGAGACAGAGGATTTTTAGGGCAGTAAAATTATTCTGTATGATAATGTAATAGTGGATACAAGACATGCATTTGTCAAAACCCATAATACTGTACAGCACGAAGAATGACCTTTGATGTATACAAATATTTTTAAAATCATTTAGGAGGTTAGAGAACCTCAGGAAAAAATGCAGATTGTGACAAGAGAATCTGTTACAAATGCAATGGGGCCTTGACTTACGAGTTTAATTTGTTCCGAGACCAAGCTCGTTAAGGAGCTCGTTAACTCAAATTACTCTATCAACTCAATGCAAAAAATCGGCCGAGAGACAGCTGGTATCTCAAAAAACTCGTTAGTCGGGACACTCGTAAGTCAAGGCCCCACTGTATATGAAGCAATGGGGGAAAGGGTGCTGACCTAAGTATCTTTGGAACTGTGTGGAATGTGGAAGCAACAGAGAGGTAAACAGAACAGTACATAATCACTGTACCCTAGATGATAAGATTTTGTAACATGGGGGTACAGGTTAACAATTCTGATATTGTTATACCTGTATAATGAAATGGAGCAATTAAGTAAATGAATGGCAGATGGTGAAGCCAGGTTTCTCACCCTTGGAATTTATAGATAAGCAATGGGAGAAAACTAAAATGATCCATGTGGTAATGGTTTATAGTTGGAGACATCATTATGAATTCATGTTTAACTTAATATATGGATGATTACATACATAATGTGTACCACTTAATAATTCGGATTTTGTAATCAAAGAAAACACTATAATTTCAAGAGAAACATCAAAAGTGCTTTATTCAAAGTAATGTCCATCACTAGCTACACATTTCCCCCATCTTTCAGGTAATTTGTGGATACCATCCCAATAGAACTTTTCTTGTTTTGAGGCAAACCATTCAGAGACCCAATTTTCCACTTCTTCTTCTGTTTTGAAGTGCTGCTCAGAAAGTGCGTGTGCCATCAATCGGAACAAGTGGTAATCTGAAGGAGCGAGGTCTGGTGATTACAGCGGGTGGGTTAATACTTCCCAGGCAAGAACTTTTAACGTGTCTTTAACTGTTTTTGAAGGGTGTGATGGTGCATCATCATGAAGCCAAAATTACTTGGCCGTGTCTTCTGGCCCATTCTGGTCGTTTTGCAATCAAAGCATGGTTCAAATTGATTATTTGTTGTCGGTAGCGATAGTATTAATGCTTTCACCTGGTTTTAGAAGCTCATAATTCACCACCCCTTCCTGATCCCACCAAACGCAGAGCATTGTCTTCTTCCCAAAGCGATTTGGCCTTGCAGTCGATGTTGTTGGTTGACCTGGATCAACCCATGATTTTGTGCGTTTGGGATTCTCAAAATAAATCCACTTTTCATCGCCAGTCACAATTCGATGCAAAAAAGACTTTCTTTTATGCCGTTGAAGCAACATTTTACTTATGACTTTTCAGTTTTCCATTTGTCTTTCCTTCAGTTGATGTGGCACCCATTTTCCTTCCTTTAAAATCCTTCCCATTGCTTGTAAATGAT